TTCTGTGTATTCTTGCCACCTCTTCTTAATATCTTCTGCTTCTGTTAGGTCCATACCATTTCTGTCCTTTATTGAGCCCATTTTTGCATGAAATGCTCCCTTGGTATCTCTAATTTTCTCAAAGAGATCTCTAGTCTTTCCCATTCTGTTATTTTCCTCTATTTCTTTGCATTGGTCACTGAGAAAGGTTTTCTTATAACTCTGCTATCCTTTGTAGTTCTGCATTCATATGGGTATATCTTTCCTCTGCTCCTTTGCCTTCAGTTTCTCTTCTTTTCTCAGCTATTTGTAAGGCCTCCTCAGACAACAATTTTCCCTATAGAGACAATGGTAGCTCTATTAGGCTTCCACAAGTTCTCAAAGCAAGTTTTTGGATTTTACCTACCATAAATTCCCTTCCTGAGACTCCTAGAGCAACCCACATTCAAGGACAAGGTGCTGTATAAAAAGATTTAATTAGGGACCCAGGAGGTGGCAAAGATTTAGCATTATGCAATCAAATTAAATATTCTTCTGAAGCTTTCTGTTTTCTCAACAACTTAGCAAAGTTACTCAGAATATAATAAATCCAATGGAGAATAAAACCAAGTGATTAATCAATAGTGGCAAACTCTATGACCTTTTCAGAGGGTACCTGGTTTTCCATTTTTGCTTGAATCCATTCCAAGAAGAACTAACTTCAGAAATAACGTGGAAAATCATTTGATCTGGAGTCAAACATTCAGGATTTGGTTAGAAAGGATAAAATTGTGTCTTTATGTCTGAGGATTTAGGGAGTACTATTGCAGTGAGTTCTTTACCTTTAAAAGTTTTAAGTGTCCACTGTGGACTAACTTCCCAGCTGGCTCAGTGATAAGGAATCTGCGTACCAAGCAGGAGACCTGGGTTCAATCCCTGGTTTGGAAAGATCCCCTGGAGTAGGAAATGGCAACTCACTCCAGTATTCTTGCCTGGGAAACCCCATGTACAGAGTAGCCTGGTGGGCTACAATCCCCAGGGTTGCAAAAGAGTCAGATATGACTTAGTAACTAAATATCAGACATAGTGGACTAACTGGGAAAGCACTGAGATCTCTGGTTCTAGCTTCATTCATTAATTTGTTTATTCATTCATTTACTCACTTCCATCACTCATTCTTTCCACAAATTCATGTTAGAAATTACTATGTGCTAAGCACTATGCTAGGCACTGGTGATACTCTATCAATCAAACTCAGCCTTTGTCCTTCAAAGCAAGGAGGAAACATGTTACCAAATGATGACTGTACTATAAACTTCTTTACAGGAACTTGATATTATGATGGGAGACCTCAACTATTCTGGGTACCAGTGGAAAGCCTCCTTGAGGAAACAAGGTGTAAGCCGAGATCTGAAGGATGGGTAAGATTTCACTATGTGAAGAAGAGGGAAGAGCATTCCAGGTGGAGGGGCTAACATACACAAAAGCCTTGGGCAGGAAAAAGCGTGATGCTCTGGGCAAGTTAAAGAAAGCCTAATGTGATTGCAAGCAACAACAGCCCTAAGAGTTTGATTCTTGGTTTCCAAAGACTATGTTTCAGTAACCAAAACCAGGACTCCCTGGAAAAATGGCCAGTTCCAGGATTGGAGAGGGGAAAGTACAAGATGAGCCACAAATACCTTGCTGTCAGAAAGTAACAAAGTGCTAAAAGAATAGAGAGGACTTGTCAAAATAACACTGAAGCAAAGCCTGCTTTAAGAAGCTTAAGTACTGAAATAAATAATGACAGTAGTATGTTATAAAACAGTGAATTAAAATAGAAAATTATGAACCCATATTGATATATTTACTATACACAATAATTTAAAGTTTGGTAAGAAATGAGATATTTACATAGTCTCAAATTACCTTCCTACAAAATATTTGTTAATTACAAAGGGAAAAAGAATACTTCACAATGGAGGATCTTGGCAGACACTATGGTCAAAATTAACTGAAGGTAGGGGGAGAAGGGGACGACAGAGAACGGGATGGCTGGATGGCATCACTGACCCAACAGACATGGATTTGAGCAAGCTCCGGGACATGGTGAAGGACAGGGAAGCCTAACGTGCTGCAGTCCATGGGGTCACAAAGAGTCGGACACGACTGAGTGACTTCGCTTTCACTTTTCTGTTTTTATGATTACTGTTGTTCAGTCACTCAGCCGTGTCCGACTCTTTGTGACCCCAAGGACTATAGAGTCCATGGAATTCTCTAGGCCAGAATACTGAATTGGGCAGCCTTTCCCTTCTCCAGGGGATCTTTCCAACCAGGGACTGAACCCAGGTCTCCCGCATTGCGGGCAGATTCTTTACCAGCTGAGCCACAAGGGAAGCCATAAAAGTAGAAATTGTATGTTATTTTATAGCAATCAAAAATATCATTTCTCTGATATGCACAACCATCATGAAGAAAAACCAGACCAACCCAAATTCAATGATATTTTACAAAATAATTGGCCTGTTATCTTCAAGTTTCAAGAAGATAAAGGCAAGGCAAGGATGAAAAAATGTTCCAGGTTTAAGGAGATTAAAGAGAAGTGACAGCTAAACACAATGTGTAACTCCAAATTGGATATTTGACCCTAAAGGATATTATTTGGATACTTCATAAAAATTGAATAGGATTTGAGAGATGAATTTCATATGAAGATTTTGATGGTTGTATTGTAAGTAGGTAGGTAAATGCTCTGCTTTGAAAGAGTTCATGTGATTAGGTTAGACCACCCAGATAACTTCTCTATCTTAAGATCAACCGATTAGTAACCTTAACTGTATCTGCAAAATCCCTTTTGTATAAAACAACACAATCATGGGGCGTAACGCCAGGAGCCAAACATTGTGGGGGTCATTTTAGAATTCTGCCTGTCCCAAGATGGAAGAGAGAAATGTACAATAACTGAGTCTTCTGCCAAACAATATATGTAAAGAACTGAAGGAGGTGAAAATCTGCTTCTCAGATTCATGAATTGGGGGTTGAGAAATTCTGGATTATGATCTTTGATACATCTTCAGCAGTAAAATTCTTTGATTTGTCTTTATTAGGCAATAAGAACAGCCACAGCATGTTTCTGATTTACTTAGCTTAAGGCCTGGCATATAGTAGATGCTCAGTAATGTTGAGGATATGAAGAATAAATGCTGAGTGAAGGATCAGCTCTGGCAACCAAAGATTTATTTCCTCATCTGACTAATCAAAATCTTCAGTGCCGATCTCTCAGTGAGTTATTCTTCCAGAGTAATCAGGTTAAGGAGAAATCTGATAGTTAATTTCCGGTTCCCTTTTGATTGATGATATTTGTATGTATATAGAATTTCAGAGGTGTTTTTCTTCGAAAATACAATTTGCCAAGAAGACTTAGAACATATTCATTTAGCAATAGAAGTAGCTAATATATTCAGACTGAAAGAATCTTACGATGCTATGTTGTTACAATTAACATGTGTTATGATGAAAGTTTAAAACATTATTATATAAGGATATATGAGGAAATTGTATTCAAGATTATTTTGGAAATAATTTTACTACTTTTTGTCATTATACAATGTAAATATGCTCAAAGCAAAAAAAGAAAAAAGAAGAATAAAAATACAGAAGAGTATGAAAAATAAAGATCACCTGTAATCCCACAATTCAAACATAACCACTACTAATATTTTGATGATATCTTTTCAGATTTCTTTCCTCTGCAACTATGCGTAAAACATATCAGCATATATAATATATATATATACACACACATAGTTCTATATATGGAGTTATTTTTAATAGCTGCAATATATTTTATCATGCGGTTCTAGTAACATATTTTATTTATCCAATCCTTTATGATGGCTATTTAAACCATCTATAATTTTTCTAGAATTGTACATACCACCAAAATAAATATCCTGGTGTATAAATCCTTATACTTTGGTTTAATCGTTTCTGTATAGTAAGTATCTAGAACTACTATTGACAATTTGATATGCAAATCTTGTTATTATCAGACTTCCAACAGAAATGTTTAATCCCATAAACAGATTATAAAGTACCCGCTTATCCTTACCCAAGTGAAGTGAGGTGAAGTCGCTCAGTCGTGTCTGACTCTTTGCGACCCCACAGACCGTAGCCTACCAGGATCCTCAGTCCATGGGATTTTCCAGGCAAAAGTACTGGAGTGGGTTGCCATTTCCTTCTCCAGGAGATCTTCCCGACCCAGGGATCGAACCCGGGTCTCCCTCATTGTAGGCAGACGCTTTACCGTCTGAGCTACCAGGGAAGCCTATTTTTACCCAAAATGGGTATTATTAAATATTTAATATTTTCAAATTTGGCACATGAAAAATAATATATTGTTCTAATTTGCTTTTTTTTGTATAGCTGTATTACATTTTATTTTTTCTTCTGAGTTTTAAAAAGTATTTTAAGATGAGGTTGTTCGAATGGCTCTTAGGTGTTATTTCCTCTTACTTTTTTGTCCAGAAGTATATTTTTTACCCCTTATAAATACTGAAATCCTTATTTAAATAATTTCCAGAAGGCTGTGTTAGTATGACAGGCAGCCTCTAGGATGGCCTCCAATGGTCCCAGCCACCTGGTATTCATAACGCCCTGAAATCCCCTCGCCCATTGAGCGTGCACTGTCCCTGTGAGTCCCCTTTTTGTATTTCCAGGAGAATATAGTACAGGAGATGGGATGTCATTTCCAAGATCAGGTTATAAAACTCTGTGACTTCTACTTGTGAGCAGATTCTCCTATTGCTGTCTCAGCTGCATACTTTGAAGAAATAAGCAGCCACGCTGGAGCGCCCACCTGACAAGAAACCTTGAGAAGACTCTGGCCAAGATCCAGCAAGGAACTGACCCTCAGTCTATAAGCCCGTGAGGAGTGCATCTTTCCCCAGCTGCATCTTCAGATGAGACCCTAGGCCTGCCTGCCATCCTGATCACAGCCTTGGTTGTGGCCATTTTATTGTACTGCACTGTCTTGCAATGAGATGCCCTCTGTGGCATATTGTATCTCCAAAGTTTACAACAGAGCCTTTCAAATATACTGAATTGTGTCTTTAACATACTATATTTTATAGTGCAGAGATCCAATGTTTATTTCGAGATTCCAGTATAAATGGGTTATCATATACTATATGGCAGTAAGCAGATTTTAAAACAGCCAAAAGGAAATTTGACCCCAGGATTATTTACATTTGACACAGAAAGTTGACAACAGCTCTAGTATTTGTGCTTGTTATTTTTGTTCAAGATCTTACTGGCTACTTACTCAACATCTTACTTTTCAATTAGCAGTAGCAGTCTTAAGAACACTCCTCTGCTTCGACTTCCCAGTAAAGATTGGAAATTCTATGCCAATTTACTTACATGTACTTGTATTTATATAGATTTGAGCACCTGCTTATATATGTCCTGACTTGTCTAGATTCTGTGAAAGATAAGTAAAATAAATATCTTATTCGTTGACCCTGGGATGCGCTTTTCCTTAGCAAATGTTTAGTGTGGAAAGCTCGGTCTTGTACAAAGGCACATTCATTCTGCTTATGGAGATCGGAGGACACCTCTGTCGCCTCCTTTAGAATAATGCTTGCCACTTAGCATTTTTGTGTTAATGTGAGTGAAAGTGTTCAAAAACTTAAGAACATTTTGCTAATGTAAGTCGTTTGTCTAAGAGTGTCTCACTTGGCTCCCTGCTTGTGAGGCATGGCCAGGGATCCACAAATCGTCATTTAGGGAATAGGGAAGGCCTCTCTACCCTTTCCACCTTGCCTCTGCCTCCTTGCCTCCTTGACATTGCCTTTATCACCTTAAATCCCAGCTCAGGAGAGTCCTCTGATAGAGATGAGGGTAACGTGACTTACTTCTACTCATCGGAATGTTTATTATTAGGACAATTAGAGGGAAAATTTAATAATTCCTTATAGAGATTCTATTTATACATTCATTAAGTGAAAGATTTTCACAGAATGAGGAATTCAGCAATGTACAAAGTATGTCTATGTTCTTTTCTACCAAGTCTTTTTTTCTCACACAAACAAAGGTGACAATATCAGAGTTAGATGTAGACAAAATAGGCTGGAGAGCAAGGCCAGAACAGAGGAATGAAAGAAGGGGAAGCCTATCACCTCACTTGTAATTTTACCCTGGTCGAGTCAGGTTTGAGTGACTACTACACATTCTGTTTTAAACAAAACTGAGTAGCTGTTTCCCCTTCTGCCCAAAGTCAGAGTTTGTTTTCTTATTATCAGCTTTTACCATCTGAATTTGATCAGTTAAGAGAAGTCGAGAAATCTATGTTAAAAGTTCAGAGAGTTCCCAACCTTGGCAGCTCACAAGAAATAAAATTCATGCCTCCCATCAAAGAATTGAGAGGCTGTTTTACTTCCAGACTTCAGTTTACAAGCACAAAGGGAAAGACTGTTGTCAATGGGAAGTTCATATACATCTCAGTAGGAGGATGAGAACTGATTCACTAGGAACAGCTCTAATACTATTCACAGAGCACTTAAATAATAAGGCATTAATTCAATAGAGGACTTCCCAGGCAGCTCAGTTGTAAAGAATCTGACTACCAAGCAGGAGAGGCAGGTTCAATTCCTAGGTTAGGAAGATCCCCTGGAGAAGGAAATGGCAACCTACTCCAGTATTCTTGCCTGGTAAATCCCATGGTCAGAGGAGCTTGGCAAGCTATAGTCCATGGGGTTGCAAAAGAGTCAGACACAATTTAGGAACTAAAACGAAATTCAACCTACGAGAAACACCTTACGGCATTTTCCCCAAGGAGTGATTAGTATCTCAGGACGACACCTCCTCAGGGTTCCACCTCTACCTTCTCCATTTGGTGACTTTCAGAATGACCGGATAAGCCATACAGTGCGACAGAGAGACAGGACAGGATTTGCAATCAGAAGATTTGGAGTCCACTCAGTACTTCCAGCTATGTGAGCAACGCATCACATTTCTTTAAACCTCAGTTTCCTCATCAGCAACAATTTCATCAAGTTGTTCAGAAGTTCACTGAAATAAAAAGTGTGACATATGTTGTTCTACACATTACACTCATGATTTTTATTGTGATAGGTGTGTATAAATTCCAGAACATTCCAAGATAAGCAGCATGACTTATTCAAACACAGATGTTATGACAGTAACATAATTGCCACTCATAAGCAGCATGAAAGGTTCAAGTTTTCATTCTAGTCTGTTAGGATACATCCAAAGACATGCCTGGAACAAAGGACCCCTGGGAAGTTCTCTCAGTAGACATATAAAGATACCTTTGAGGTTCATTATGTATATTTTAAAAATGAAAATAATTCAACTAAAATGATTTCTTCTAAAAGTATATATATTTTAAATTCTACCACACACATACAAAGTAAGTCTAGCCAGCCATTTATATAGATAACAACCTTTTCTGATGACAAGAGTTTTAAGAGAAACCAATCCTTAAATTACGTTGCCATGCCTTTTGCATTCAACAGAAAGTGGATGCAAAAAAAAAGTGAATTTGGAGATTATGCTAACTAATTTTTATTCTTGAAAAGATGTGAGGCACTGCGATGACAGGGACGGAAACTTTTTCAGTTTTCCAGTTTCCAGAAGTACCTGTAGTTGCCAGGCCTTTGATAAAATATTTAGTGGATGAATTTGAGTACTCTACTCATGACTTAAAAATATCCATGGTAACATTTTTTATCAACCTAGACAGCATATTAAAAAGCAGAGATATTACTTTGCCAGCAAAGGTCCATCTAGTCAAAGCTATGGTTTTTCCAGTAGTCACACATGGATGTGAGAATTGGACCATATAGAAAGTTGACCACCAAAGAATTGATGCTTTTGAACTGTGGTGTTGGAGAAAACTCTTGAGAGTCCCTTGGATCTTGAGAGATCCAACCAGTCCATCAAAGGAAATCAGTCCTGAATATTCATTGGAAGGACTGATGCTGAAGCTGAAACTCCAATACTTCGGCCACCTGATGCGAAGAACTGACTCAATTGAAAAGACCCTGATGCTGGGAAAGATTGAAGGCGGGAGGAGAAGGGGATGACAGAGGATGAGATGGTTGGATGGCATCACCGACTCGATGGACATGAGTTTGAGCAAGCTCCAGGAGTTGGTAACAGACAGGCAGACCTGGTGTGCTGCAGTCCATGGGGTCGCAAAGAGTCAGACATGACTGAGCAACTGAACTGAACTAAAATGAACATTTTGTGTGGTGGTGGGCTGTAGAAAATACATATAAGACAGTGGTGAAAATATGGATTTTAGTAACCAAAGGACATATATATGAATTTCAGACTCTCTAATCCCCGGCCATGGGACCTTGGGTAAATTATTTAACTTTTCCAAGTCTTGATTTCTTTATATGGGAAACAGCAATAACAACGATCACCACCACAGTGTTAAAATGAATAATGTGAATAGAATATATGCTTAAAGATAAGTTTTAAAAGATACAAAAAGTCTTGAGGATGTATACTGTAGCTACTAGTTAACCTTTAAAATTTCATTTCTGAAGTTGTCAATTAACTGGAGACATGTTATTTTAAGGAGAGATTGTCAGCCTAAGATAACCTGTAGTATCATCTCATTTGTGGTTTTGATTTCCTTTGCATCTGCAGCTTCAACTAAGGGAGTCTGATTGTTTATTTTTATTTCATAAGCAAAATTCATGAAACCTCAATGTGAGATTTATGTTTGCTTTTTAAAAAATCGTCATTAGGTAAATCGAGAGACAAATGAAAGTAGTTCCTGTGGTTGTAACTGAGCAATCACCTCCACTGAAAGTTACTATGTTTTTACCAGAGTCTTTAGGTGAAAGCAAATAATTATTTATTAACTGTAGCTAAAATTAAGAGTGACATTTGTTAAGGCACTTAATTGTGCTTTTTATTCTCTTGAATTATTTTCTTAATCTATAGTCTCTACCTATAATATAATAAACTAACTATAATCTCTACCCAATCTTGGGATTTGCAGTTCATTTAACTTCTTTTACTAATGCAACTCCACATGGCCAAAATAATCTTTTGAATGACGAATAATAAGTGTGATACCTTGAAAGTGGGAAGGTAGCTCCATTTTACCAGTTTCTAGGACTTCATACTCTTGTTTAATTTATTTCAGATTCAGTAAGCATCTCACAAACTTTTTCATAAAATAATAATAAAGGCTTATCAGGACAAATAATAATTCACTGGTTGAGGAGTGTCTGGTAGATTGTGAGCAGTTTTTCTCCCTGTGGTACAGGTCGAGTGTTCTTAAAATTTAGAACACTGACAAAATTGCTTGCCTTTTTAAGTTACTCTATTTAAACTTTTTCTCTTATTTTTGACCTGCCACACATAAACCACTTAGATCAAATTTCTTTTCTTTTCCTCAGATTGCAGTTAATAATTAACTTCTTCCCTAAAATTAAAATAATAATAAAACATTCTCAGGGCTTTTTAGTTGTTTCAGAGTAACTGATTTTTGAATAATTTCTGTGTGTTTTCTGTGAAACACAAATACTGTCCTGTGCTGAAAAGAGCAGATTCTAGGAGGAATTTTTTCTCTACCACACTGATAGCTTATGATGATGAACGCTTCTAGAATGGCAAAACAGCCCCTGCTTTGAACGAGTACCAATGGTGTCAACTGTCTTTCCTATTTGTCATTTGCTTTCAACTCACATTCACATCAAGTTCCAAAGTGTTGTCTTCTTGGTAAAGGATGATGATGAAGATGTGACTTCCAGGTTAAAGAGGTGACTTGTCAGTCATATTCAGATTCTCATAGTTGGGGCTGAGACCACTTTCCGGCTACTCAGGGGCCTGTTAGACTTTCTGTAAGGGAAATGTGTGTCCTTCTCTCGTATTCTTGTTATATCCTGTCTTTATCCCAGCTCTGAATCTTCTGATCTCTCCTTCAGTGTTCCAGGCACTTCAGGGAGAGAACAGAAGCCTCTCAAATCCTTATCCATCGTACAAGTTACACACACACACACACACACACACACACACACACTTTCAGTGCCTGCTAGTGCCTGGTACAGACTGAGTATTCAATCCAGTGAATACATTCAATGGATGGTAGAAAAAGTGAAGGAATAAGAAGACATGAACGATGAAGGAAGACTGAAGGAAATATGAAGGAAGATGTTATGAATTTTTGACATAATCAAGATGTTTTGTTTTGTTGCTGTTTCTATGGGAGTAAA